TTTTTTTTTTTTTTTTGGTTCTTTTTAATATGTTCTGTCTCTCTCGATATTCTCATTGTTTATGAATTGTTTTTCTGAGGTCATTGAACATCTTTACAATGGTTTGAAAACACTCTTTGTCAAAAAAATCTCTTTAGGCTTGGTTTCTTAAGATGTATTTTAAACTCTCAGTTGAGCTGTAGTTCCCTGTGTAGAGATCCATGCATTAGAAACAGTATCCACCTCTAATTGTCTTTATAAACTGGACTCATAGGGAAAGGCCTGCCCCGGTTAGTCCAGAAGCCCTCCAGCTTTGTCTATAGCTGCTGCCTCCTGCACCTGTCCCTGTAAATGCCCAAGCGGAGGGACTGCTAGCTGCTTCCCAGGGCTCTGGTCTCTCGCTGTCCCTGTCTGTGACCCTGCAGGCTCTCTGGACTCCCCAAAGCGGCTCACCTCACTTTGCTGTCAGCCCCAGGCCTTCACAGTACACTGGATCCCGTCAGCGGTCCAAGCCGGGCGGGACAGAAACCAGCACCGTGGGCAGCCCGGGAGCAGAGAACACTGACCAACCCCTCCCTCGCTGTGGGAACCGTTCTGTCCTGCGCTTCCTTCAGAGGCCCGTGGGCTTCTATAATATAATGGATTCTGTTCGGGTTCTGAGGCAGGAGAGGCAGAGGCCAGTCTCACAAAGTGCCACAACTTTGCAAGTGTACTCCAACTCTTTCCCTCCTCTGGGAGAACCAGGAACTTGGGAGTTCTGTCCCAGGCCTCCTGCACTGATTCCGAGTCCGGGAATGCTGGTCCACACTGTCACCCTACTCCTAGCAGAACTAGCCTGGCATCCTTACTTGTGGCGTTCACACTCAAGTAATCCAGAAGCCAGTCCCTGGGGTAGCGCTAGAAGTTTCAGGGAGAAGTCAGGAACCAGCGCTTACCCCAGCCCTACCACATTGGGCCAGGAGGACAGGTGACCACCCAGACTTTACCATCGGTTCTCCCGCAGCTGCTTTATGCTCACGGGACGGGCAGGAGCCGCTTCCTGGTTTCCTGTTTCTCACAAAGGAAACTGGTCCATGTATGTCAGCTTAATGTCTCTCTGGGACGGGGGGAGGTCTAGGGTTTTTTGTCTTACTATCTTTGGGCATCACTTTCCAGTGATTTGTTTTAGACGTAACACCAAAACACATTCCATAAACTAAACACATGGTAAACCAGACTTTATCAAAATTACTATTTGCAAAAGATAATGTTAGGGGAACAAGAGAGCAAGCCATACAAAAAGGGCAAGTACTTATCATTCAGACTTCAGAAGATATGTAAAGACTTCAGATATCTAAAGAGTACCTACAACACATTCAGAAAAAATAAGCAATTAAAAATGGAAAAATATCTGAACAAACATTTCAGCAAATGAGAAAAATATCTGAACAGAAATTTCATCAAATAAGAAATACGGTTCACAGAAAAAGTACTTGAAAAGATGTTCGACATCACTTGTCATTAGGGGAAGTAAACCTCCCACCAGGTAACACCATGCACGTCAGTGTGTCCATACACGCTGGCTGTTCCTTTTTCAAGGGGTGAAGTGTAATTGCTTACCTCAGGTGTGTGCCGGTCTCAGTGACTCTAACAAGCACTGACAAACAGAGGGTGGGAAGACAGTTGATTCTCAGTAACGAGGCGTGGTAGACAGCACCTGCACCTGCACCCTGCAGTCCGCTGAACACTGCTGCTGAAACCCAACTGAGGAGAACTCACTTCGGAGGCGCTCGTCCCCAAACTCACAGCCCTCACCTAAATATAAGGAAACAGAAGAACCTAATTTGAGAAACTTCCACAAAATATTTGATCGGTACTGTGGGAAACTCTCAAGGATGCAAAAAACAAGGAAGGACTGAGCTATCACAGATCAGAGAATATGAGACATTTTGGAAGAACTAAAATTCAGATAAAATCTCAGGGAGTTTTAATGGTCTTCATTGACCAACTGATCTAAAACATTACAGCTCTTGCCCTTGACTGCCAACTTACCTTTCTTCTTAGATTTACCAGACCTTGGTCATGTTGTATTTATTTATCATCTGTCTCCTCCCCGTGAAATATCAGCTCCGTAAGCAGGGGTAGAATCAAATTTTATGAAACCTGAAGACTTGTGAGCCCTGTTTCTTTCCTCTTTTTTTTTTTTTTTTTTTTTTTTTTTTTTC